GGCGGTAAGGGCATGGGGTGTGGTGGGAACCGGGTGGAGGGGAGCTATGGGGGGAAAAGAGGAACAACTGTAATAATCTGAACAATAAAGACTTATTAAAAAAAAATAAAACCTATGAGAAGGCAAGGAATGGAATGGCAGTTTGGTACTCAACTTGGCAGCAGTTTCTCCTACCTTTTGCTTAGGCCTTCTATTGACCACTGTGTAATGCTGTAATGGGGCCAGGGGGAGGATGAGGAAGAGAGAGAGAGAGAGAGAGAGAGAAAGAGAGAGAAGAAATGCAAAGCTAAAGTTTTCCCTTCCTTTATCTACTCTTTATCTTGCAATCTAGCTCTCTTCAGTTGGTGAGTGCAAGCACTCCAAACCCAAAGCTAAACAGCATTGTTTAATGAAAACATGGGAGGCTGGTGGAAAAGGATAACATTGTAAGGTTGTCTACAGTACTGAGTGGACAAATCCTAAGCAGAGCGTAAAGGATAGGAAAACAGTCATTGCAAGATCCAACTTGGTGCTCAATAGAATCTAAGTCTGATGGTTGAGACTGTCTGTACCAGCCTTGAGCCATCTGATTAATGATACATCAATACCTTTATTAAGATTTGGCTCAGTGTCGGCCTTTGGACTGGAGGGTCCCGGGTACAATTCCAGTCAAGAGCATATGTCCGGGTTGCGGGTTCAATCCCCAGTCAGGGGCATGCAGGAGGAAGCCAATCAATGATTCACTCTCATCATTTATGTTTCTATCTCTCTTTCCCCCTGCCTTCCTCTCTGAAATCAATAAAAATGTATTTTAAAAAGAGTATAGCTTAATTATTTTTCCTTCTTTTTATATACTTTTAAAAGTGTGGTTGTTCAGATTTCTCATTTTATTCCTTAATATCTGGTTACATTGTTTTGCCTTCTTATACTACTGCTTTTGATTGATCTTTTTCTTTATTCATTTTCTAATATTTCACTAGCCTATTCAATTGTTATGATCTTTGATATATGAATAGTCAATATGAAACTCTATAACATTGTGAAAATAACTACATTTAACAGCATATTCTCTAAGTATACCAACATGCACAAATTTCATAAAAGAAAAATAATGCTGGCCCCAAATTACCGTTTATGTTTATTTCCTATTCATGAGCTCTCTTTCTGGAAATATAAAAATAAAGATATGACTGATACTTACCCCACTAGACCTACATCAGCTATAAGTTTTAGATCAAGGTGAATTATTCGTCTCTGGCCTTTCAATGGTAAGAAATTTGTAAGGAATTTACCACCAAGACCTCCTTCAGCTACCAAAATTCTGTCTTGTTCTTTATTGAGTTCTCCTTAAAAAGAGAAATAAAGACACTTAGAACCAAGATTAGTAAGTGAAGCTAATCCACTAATGACATTTTTCTTTCAGAAATAGATACCAGAAATTTCTATTAAAACCTTGACCCTGGCCTGGCCGGAGTGACTCACTAGTTGAGCATCGACCTGTGAAGTAGGAGGTCGTAATTCAATTCTCTCTCTCCTTCTCCTTTCCTCTCTGAAATCAATTGAAAAAAAAAAAGCTTGACCCTGGAAAATACTTTTGTATGCAGTTCAAAGAGATTAGTTTATGTTTTAAAAACAAATTAAATACTCTTATATCTTTAAAATGATCTGAAATCTAGCAGTTAATTTTGAACAGCCTTTACATAACATTTTAAAAAGTTCTTTCATAAATTAGCAGTTAATGTTTAAAAAAAAAATTCTGAAACTCAAGAGTTGCTATTCCCCACAGCTCCCAAACACAACTTTAGAATGTACAGTACACTTACCTATAACTTTACCATTTTCATCAGTTACTGAAATACCCACAGGTGCAGGAATTTCACAATCTTTTCCTTTGGAGCCTTTCAGTGCACTAACACTACATAAATAAATAAACAAACAAACAAACAAATAAATAAATAAATCTAATATAAAATAAGGAAAATCCACAAAATTAAATGGCTTATGCTTCAAGCAAATGTAATGGCCTATAAAGAAGACTGGCAACCAACTCTTCTGATGTAGATGTTAAATGGCCAAATATAAAGGAAAACTAAAATTATCCCTAATTATTTATTTGCATTTTAGACTATCATATCCCAATAAAAATATTAAACAATAATTTAAGTTACCAAGCTAACCACCAAAAGTCATTACAAATCATAATAAATTAATATCTTGAACACCTGAAATGTACACAAATAAACTAGAAAATGAAAAATCAATTGAATAACAAAGCTTTTAAAAAACTGACCTCAACTGAGAGTACTTTAATTATAGGGGGTTCATCTAACTGCTCATGAGAGAATAAACTGGTACAAACTTCTAACTAGAAAATTCACTTCTGAGAATTTATCCTAAAAGAAAATAATTGAACAAACATGTAAACTACTATATATACATGAATGTGTGTTACATTGAGTATAACAGTAAAAAAAATCAATAATTACCTAAATAGATGAATGACAACATAATATTATTTCCAATACTATAATACTCTGCAGCCATAGTAAAAATAGCACAGAAAATTTAAGTGAAAAGAGGAGGTTGCAAAATATTGTCCTCTCATTTTTGTACCCCCAAACTATCTACACACACACAAGATTACATTTGTGTAAACACACAGAAAAGTCAAGAAAAGGTTAGTACAGGTTATTTCCAAAATTATAGGTGACCTTTTATGAAACTTTTTTATTCCTGAACTCCATGAGTAGGTCAGAATTCCCAGACCCACACACGTGTAGGCTCTCTCATTCATATGACTTGTCACAGTTATAATTTTTCATTTTTCAGGTGTTTGATTAATGTCTGCTCTCCCATTACACCACAGTAACTTGCAGAAGGGAAGAGAACATATTAGTTTAGATCATCATTGTATCCTAGGCATCTAGTACAGTGATTGGTACATAGTGGATACTCAATTAACATTAGTTGAATGAATGAATCAGGTTGACAGTAATGGATGAATTAGAAATATAGTAAAGAAAGACTTAAATAGAACACTTCTCTTATTGGGATGTACGTTGCAATTTTTAGAATGTAAAGGCAAGATTTAATTTCATTCTTATTTGTTACCATTGGTGAACTTTCTATTAAAATATTTTATTAAAAAATTGACACTTAAATTTCAGAATAACATTGTATAGTTTTTTAAATGGTTGAAATAGTATTTGATAATTTTCATAGTTGAGCAAGCATAAACCAGTTTACTGGGAGATGATTTCATGATGAACAAAAGTAGTCTGATTTTTAGTAGACATGTTATTAGATATATGAAATTAAAATCTGACTTAGTTATCTATATTTTGGAAGTAGTGTTTAAACCAAGACTTGAAAGGGGAATAGGGACTTTGCCAGACAACAAGAAAGGAAAGGATCTGTTGGCAAACTAAATATATATGTATATATATCTATATTTATATGTGTGTATACACACACCCACATACTGGATTAGGAAGGAACAAGCTGTTTGGAGAAATAACAGTTATTTCTAGCATAACACTGGTACAAGTATGGTAGCGTGTTGTGAACTAAGACACTGTAGTCCAAATCATGAAGAGACTGATATGCTCTTTTGGAAAGTTTGAAGATTATCTTAGACAGGGAATATTAAAGGATTTTTAAGTAGGCAAGTGACATTAACAAGATGATGTTTTAGAAAAATCACTCTAGGAATAACTGGATAAAGAATGGATTGAAGGTGATGACTGAGACTGGGATGGGAGACCAAATTGGAGAATATTGCAATATTTCATAAATAATGACTGAATTAAAGTCTGGCCTGTACCTATCTTCCCAGTCTCATCTTCCTCTATATTCTGTGTTTTCTGCATTCCAGCCAAGCTGGCCTTCTTTTAGTGTCTTATACTGCTCCTTGTCTTCTATCACTGGGCCTTTGTTCATGTTACCTTTTCTGCAATGCTTTTTTCTCCCCTTCACCCAGCTAGTTCCCATTAATCCTTTAGATTTAAGCCTCTTTGTTCTAAATATTCAACACACAATCCAGTAAGAAATATGTTCTGTTTAAATCTCTCTTAACATTTAAACATTGTATACCATCTTTAAGAATACCATCGATCTAAACACTTTAAAATAACATTCTGTATTCAAAACTTTAATTACTGAATTCTAACAAATATAAGGCTCTCAAAATTTGTCCTATAAAATGGTCTCATAAAACAAAATGCTCAAAAGAAACTTAAAGGATTTCCCCAAAGATTCACTTACAAGCAGGGGGTGCTGCCGCATATTTTGGGCAGGATAATCTGAGCTTGTTTTTGTTGTTGGGAGTGTCTGTTATAGGGTGTTTAGTATCCTGGCCTCTTTCCTTTACTTATACCCATCCCCCAAGTAAGTGTCACATTTCATCATCTGGTACTATGACAAATAAACATATCAAAACACTTCTGTGGGAATAAAAAAAAGAAACAGATATAAAATCTAGCTGTTGTACCAATACCTCCTATGGAATAACAGAATAAGATAGGCCTGAGGAATCATAGCCTGCAATTTGATGGAAGCTTTAAGAATTTTTTTCTTCATAACAAAAGAAAAAATTCTTCTCATATTTTGAGGCTAACATAGCATGTGCCACAGAAAATAACATTAATGAAAAATAAAAGAAAGGTTTTGTCACAGAAAGAACGAAACAGAAGCAAAAGGGAAAATGTGTAAGAGTATCAGTGAAACGGGCTCTAAATTTTCAGCACTGCCTATAAGAAGCTGGCAGAACTACTGGTGGTGATGGGATGGAGTAGCTTGGCTGAGATTTGAGAAAGGTTTCCCAAAAGAAGAAAACAGTGGGAATTCACTTTCTGTTTCTACAGAGGAAGTGCAAACAAATATAAACAGACAGTGGGAGAAGAAAAGGATAAAAAGTTTGAATGTCCCAAAACATTTCTTAGTAACTATCTTGTATCTTTACTAGAGTTGAGACAAATGAAGATTTTTGCTCAGTTACAGGATATAATTTACTTCAAATCACTAATTACAACTTTATCTTTTAATTTTTGTTTCCTTTTGGGAGGGGTTACTTTCATAAAATCAAAGTCATTCAATAAATACTCACCGACTGTTTGCTCCTTCTCCAGCCACAAACCGTTTCTGAGGATATTTGTCTTTAAGTTGTTTTAAAGTCATTTTTTTCTGGGCTACCACCCAGACGTCACCACCTTTTCCACCTTCTCCACCTAAGCGAGGGTAACCCATTCCACCACTTCCTCCCCTGGTGAAGAGTCTTAGGTTATCAACGAAGTTTCCATACTTAAAAAGAGAAGGAGAGAGAAAGAGAACATTTGTATACCAATGTAAATGAACTTTCTATTAAAATATTTTATTAAAAACATTGACACTTAAATTTCAGAATTTGTATTACCAATAAGAACTCCTTTCTACTTATTTGTTGCCACTAAAATGCCTGAAAAATAAAAAAGGGCTTCCTGCATGCAATATTTAAAGTCTTTTCTCAGTTCATCTCCTGTCTGACCTCCTTTTCCCATTTAACTCTTAAAACCTTTATTTTCTCCAATTATCAATTATTGTCCTAACTATCCTCAAGGTCTCTGACACTGGTCCACTTTTCAAACTAGACTGTCTCCCCTGGGTGATTTCAGCCTGTACCAGTAACTATTACCCAGGTGAGATATTCTCTATGTCTATTGGACATCACTAAGATGTAAGCTTAAAAGTCTAGAGCAACTGAGAACAAGATCTGAATTTAACTTTTATTAGAGACCCCTCAAGATGTAACTTGTTCCTGGGTATTGAAAGGATAAATCATCTCAAATACATGTTACTATGACAAAACCAAACTTTTCCTTAGGTGAAGTCTGTTCCTCCAATGTTTTCAAATGATGGAAGCATAGTTTACTACTCATGGAGACTACATGTGGGAATCTTTGATTATACCTGCTTCTTTCCCCGAAGCCCTAGCTCTTTCCTTCCTGGTACAACCTGCCCTAGTACCTTAACAGTTACATTAGCTCCTAACTGGTCTATCACTGGTTAGTCATTCCTTCCTCCACCCGTCCTCCATCTTGCTGACTGAGCTATATTTCCAAAAATGGATCTCTAAGCATGTTTCTCCCTTATCCAAAAACCATTCAAGGGTTTTTGTGTGTCTGTGTATGTTTTGCTGTTTATGAAGTAAAGTCTAAAATTCTCAGTACTGCACTAGGCAGTTTTGCTCAGTGGATAGAGCGTCAGCCTGTGGACTGAAGGGTCCCAGGTTTGATTCCGATCAAGGGCACATTCCCGGGTTGTGGGCTCAATCCCCAGTGTGGAGTGTGCAGGAGGCAGCCAATCAATGATTCTCAATAAAAATATATTAAAATCCATAAAAAATATATTAAAAAATGAAATAAAATAAAATGCTCAGTACTATATTCAAAACTCTTAACCTACCTTCAGTTAATTTCCATTCGTTCAACCCCTCCTGTTTTTCCTCTTTTGTTCTGTACTACTAGTTATACTTTCACACCTCCATGCCACTCTGCTCATGCTTTTCCTCTACTTTCTGTAATTTCTTTTCTACCGTAAACCCACCTGAATGCCAGTTGCTGATGTCTTTCTTAATTCCTTTAATCAACACTTATCAACTTTGCCAACCTCTTAGTCATTTGATTATACCTCTATTGGTATTAGTACACTTTCTGAAATCTTATACTGCATTTAGTATTTACTTGTTTCCCTGACTAAATCAAGACCTTCTTGCAGGTAAAGAGCCTATGTATTAACTCTCAGACTATCAAGATTCCTTACAAAGTAATTTCTTAAATTAATAATCTTCACATCTTTAGTCATCTAGAGTAGTTGCAAGTATCGAAAACATCTGTAAACTTTTTGCAAAATACATGCACTCCGCTGACCTTTCTGATATACTCTGGAGGAGGGGGGAGAGGCTACCTCAAGCCAGGACATCTAGCAAAAGCTATCTTGGTGGCGCCGATGCAGGATGCAGTTCAGACCTGAGATTGCGGTGCATGGGTAGTAGCAAAGAATCGAAGTGCAGGGACTCATTTAAGTATGCAAATGTATTCATAAAACAGAATGTTGTAAGAGAATAGGGTGCGAGAAATATATGAGATAAACTTGAGGGCCAACCAGAGCATTTTTCTCTGGATGTGAACTTAGGCTTTCGTTCTGGTGAGGCTACATCAGAATTAGATTCCAATTGCAACGACACTGATTGGAAGTGACCTTTCATGGCAGTAAGGTTACACAAGTGGACTTTATTAACTTATCCACAACAAAATGCAGTAGTTTGTGCATTTTCACTGCTTTAGATTGAACATATTCAGAGACTTAGAACCCAAATTTAAAAGAAATATCTCAATCTCATCGTTAGTAATAAGGTAATGCCTGAACTATAATGCTGGCTAGTTGCAAAAAGCATTACTAGTAAGGCTCTCAAAGAGGCTTTTAAATGTGAAGCAACTGTATATTTTTTACAGTTTAAAACCGACACTACACAAAAACTGACCTAAATTTCTTGCAAGAAGGCAAGCCTATTATTACATATTTTCATTTCTCTCTCTCCCTTCCTCTCTGAAAAGAACGTACCTAACACTGATGAAAAGTCGTCTTTAGAAAGCTCTTAAGAACCATGCACTAAAGACAAAATGTGTATGTAAACGGCCTAGGACTACGAATACTCTTTCTTAAGAGGAAAATACACGATTTGAGCCCAAAGCAAAAGTCAAACCTCCACTCCACGCACACAGTACGGCATGTCTAAAAGCAGGCCTACGCCCCAGCTCTCCATCCCACGTCGCACAATTCCCCAGAGGAATCTCACACCCGGTCCCCAAGCCGCCGTCCGAACCGAGCCGGGCAGACACACCCCCTCCCAGGCCAACCCGAGAGAAGACTAGGGTGGAAAAAAGCAGGAGAGAGACCCCCAAATAGAAAGAGGGGGGCTGGCAGAGGAGAACCAGAGCCCCCGGGCGGGGCTAGAGGCACCCGGCCCTCGGCCATCAGGCGGAGGGGCACCTGCACGGACCTTCCTGAACAACACGCAACCGCAGTGCACCATGACTGCGACCCGCCAGCACTCGCTCCCGCAGGACGTGTCTGCGCCGAGTCGCCGCGCAGCCTTTCTACGTCATTGCCGGGCGCCGACTGTGTTTCTCCGCCGGCTCCAGCGGGGAAAGCCGCATGCGCCGTAAAATGTACTCGCGCAGGGCTAGGCGCATGCGCGGTGTGGTGCGACCAATGGAAGGTGGGCTGTGTTCTGTTTAAGGGAAAGCAGCACAGGACTGCGAGGCAGTGTCGAGCCCGGCCGTGCGGCTCAGTGGTGAGCCCCGGCCCAGGAACCAAGAGGTCAGGTTCAGTTCCTGGTCAGAGCACAGGCCCTGGTTGCAGCTTCACCACCAGCAGGGGCCTGCATGGTGCAGAACAATGATTCTCTCTCATCATTGACGTTTCTGTCTCTCTATCCCTCTCTAAAATTAAAAAAAGTATATTTTTTAAAAAGAGATTTCCTTATGAAAGACATATATATTGTATGATGATAAACTGTTTGTCAATAGACTAAAATGAAAATTGTCAAACTTGATTCTCTTCTTTTTTTAAAATATATTTTCTTGATTTTTTACAGAGAGGAAGGGAGAGGGATAGAGTTAGAAACATCGATGAGAGAGAAACATTGATCAGCTGCCTCCTGCACATCTCCTACTGGGGATGTGCTGACAACTGCAACCAAGGTACTTGACCGGAATCAAACCCGGGACCTTTTAGTCTGCAGGCCAACGCTCTAGCCACTGAGCCAAAACTATTAGGGCTTGATCTCTTCTTTGTAGGTTATCTAAATTGACTTTGTGTCTTCTTACCCTGTTAAATAGATCCCCACTTTTGTCTATCATGCTTTGGTTCTGCTTGTCCATAACTAGGTTAGAAACAGCAAAGGTGAAGTCTGTCATCAATTTCACACCCCTCTCGCTGGTGTTCATTAATTTCCTATAGTGACAGGATCTTCCCTCTACACCAGAAACTCTTCCCAGGGCCCTCCAGGGAACTCCTACTGTGGTCTTCCTTCCTCCACAGGCATCTTAGTTTCCTCTTTCTTTACTCTTATATCAAAACGTACCCAGCCCCTACTTTATTTTGGGGGCAGTAGCAAGGACTGGCTAGCCAGTCTGACTAATTAATTGTGTCAAGATGTTTCTAGCTGGAATCAGCAGAAAGTTACTCCTAGTAAAAATAATTGCCTAGTAAACAGCTTCTGGTTACTTCATTCAAGACAGATATCTCTATTGCTGGAATTTTCAGGTGCCATAGCAGGTCAGTGGGAGAGATTTTTGGTGGACGGGCAGGTCTTTCAGATCTGCTTAGCAGATGTTTCCTGTGACATCGACTATAAGCCTAACCCAGATGGAAAAGAAGGAGATTAAGTGTGTAAATACATAAGCCTTTATAAGTGAGTATTCAGGTCTCTTTATGAGACAACAACTATACTCAAATTCCCAGGAAGTTTCCTACGCAGCATATAAATGAAAGTACCTCACTACATGTAGAACCATACACATAATTTTATTGTTTTATATTATTCATCCCACTTCTCTATATTAATATAGTTATTCAAGATGTAAATAGTTTACATACTGTAAGATTAACTTTCTGATACTCTTCAGCATCTATAATTTTTGTTATGAACATTATAGGTTAGCAAGCAGTAATCATTAAATTGGATTAACTAGTACTTAATAACAAAAGGCTTCCTCTGCATTTCCTCTCCCAGAGCCATCTCAAAGACAAAATGTTGAAATAATAGGTGGGGTTTTCATATATATATATTTTATTGATTTTTTGCAGAGAGGAAGGGAGAAAGATAGTCAGAAATATCTATCAGCTGCCTCCTGCACACCCCCTACTGGGGATGTGCCCACAACCAAGGTACATGCCCCTGGCCAGAATCAAACCTGGGATCCTTCAGTCCGTAGGCTGACGCTCTATCCACTGAGCCAATAGCTGTTTTTCTTTTTAGTATTCATAACCTCCCTTTTATGCACCCCCCTTCTCTTCTTTATAATTACTTCTTCTTACTACAGGTACTAGGTAACTATCTGCCTTCCTCTGATAGTGCCCATTAAAACTGAATCTCAGGCATGGATTTGATACCTGTATTTTACTAGTTGACATGATTTTTAAGTCAGTGTGTTAATTCTCTCAGAGCATTAATTTTTTTACTTTTTGTAACTACTAAAAAAAATTCAAGCTATATTGTAGGAGATCCTTCAGTGTAGGACATATGTGGAAACAGAGGAGGCTTCTTGGTATCACTAATATAACAGAATATCACAGCTGACTTTGCTTCTGTAAGATTCATTCTAGCCCAATTATTTTATTGATTCTATAACCTAATTGTCATCAAGCTTCACTAGCTTTCATATATAAAGGAAATAATACAACCCAAAGATCTTCTTCACTGTAATCCTTTATCCATAATGATCTCCAGGGATGTTTCTCTCCCCCCCGCCCCCACCCCTTAAATAACAAATTTGGTCATATCACTGTATTCAAGACCCCTCATGGTCTCAGAATGACTGCTGTAGTTCCAGCCATCATGTCCATGTTCCAGTTGAGAACATTTATGATGTTGCTTTCTTGGAAGTTCTGTTCTCATATCTTCTTGCCACCTTAATGTTGAGAAAGATTTTTTAAAAAGCTGGATACATTGCCATCTCCAACTATTTAGCTATCAACATCTTATCCTTTTTAATATAACCTAACAGGGTCCATCTGGCTCAGGCCTTGGACTCATTATATATTTTCTGAATATTAATTAATTTATTTATTTATTCTTAAGAAAAACAGTAGCTGGATTGCTAACTCCTCTGACATATGAATCACCTGAAGTGGGGCATAGAGTTATTCTCACTCATTAGCCTTATAATCCCCAAAAGTAACCTCAAATATTCTTTTCGTTTCATGCTATTCAAAATATTGTTACTCTGAGAACCATTATAAATTGGGGTCTTACACTGTACAATTAAGTCAAGTGGATTGAACAAATGAGAGCTATATACCAGGTAAGCTCTTCCTCTCTCTAAAATAAAATGTAGCATTGTCAAAGTGAGGGCCTTAGGCCATACAATTTTTGTCCTGAAATAAAACCTATGTAAAGAAAAAAAAAGTGGCTTTATGTTATTGTCTTCTTCCTAAGGAATTATGGTTTGTTCATTCATCCATTCATGTAACAATCACTGAATAACTAATTTATCTCACACACACAGCTATGTACTAGAAAACTGCCATGATTTTTAGAATTATTAAGCAAGAATAATAAAGCAGAGTAGTGGTGCTAATGAAAGAAAGAAGCAAATTTTAATATTTCTGATACCAGAATTCAGTGAGTGGATAAAACTTATTCCTAAAGAACATGAATTTACTTTGCTCTTAATGCATCCTGTTTTTAATAGGAAGGGTATCATTGAAAGGTTACTTTCTTAGAGATATTTATAGAAATCCTAAGAATTAGTTGAGTCATGTTTGTAAGCCCCCCATTATCAACCACTTGTACTAGAGCAGTGGTTCTCAACCTTCTGGCCCTTTAAATACAGTTCCTCATGTTGTGACCCAACCATAAAATTATTTTCGTTGCTACTTTATAACTGTAATGTTGCTACTGTTATGAATCATAATGTAAATATCTGATATGCAGGATGGTCTTAGGCAACCCCTGTGAAAGGGTCATTCGACTGCCAAAGGGGTCGCGACCCACAGGTTGAGAAACGCTGTACTAGAGGAATAAAAATATCTTAAGGGGCTATTGCTATACTATGAGTCATTGATTATTTTCTCTTTTTTATACTTTCTTTTAATCATCTACAGGTATAAGAATGGCAGTGGAATTATCAGGAAGCCCTTTGATCATGATGCTTCCTGCTTGTCCAAAACAAGAGTGCTCATGCAGCAGGAAAGTCAATAATATGTTCAGGATTCTCATGTACCTAAGCCATTTTCTTTGTTGCTTGTTACTGATACTTCATAAAGCAATAGCCATTTACAGTAAAATAGAATTCTTAGATTTTTAAAGAATAATTCAAAATAAGAAAATGAATGTTTATATCAGTACATTCATATATAGTTTGTCTTTAATACTACCACATCGTAAAGTACCCAGCTAGAATATTCTTCTCTAGAAAGAAGCATTGGCAGACTGCAGTCATTATGCCTAACCACTGCAGGGGTAAGACAGTTTGCTCTCTCAGCAGGATTCTTGGAGGTCCCTACACATCTAAATGAGCATGAAGAAGGGATCAGGCAACCCCTATCTCTGTCCATTGGAACTGGAGGACCTCATCAGTCCAATAATTTTGTGATCATTTCTGTAAAAAATATGAATTTGGGTCTGACATCTTACTTTAGTATGAAGCATTTACTTCATCTTGATACGTTGGCTATAACTTGTCATTCAATGTTCCTGCACAGGTGGGGTCCTGGCAGGTGATCTGGGCCAATAGAGGGAGGTTGGCTGCGGGAGCACACTGACCACCAGGGGACAGTTTCTGCATTGAGCGTCTGCCCCCTGTTGGTCAGTGTGCGTCATAGTGACTGGTCTACCGGTCATTCGGTCGACCAGTCATAATGGTCACTTAGGCTTTTATATATATAGATAGTGCTGGAAGTCCTAGCTACAGTGGTCAGACAAGAAGAAAAAAAATCAAAGGCATCAAAATTGTAAAGGAGGAAGTAAAACTCTCATTATTCACAGATGACATGCATATTGTACATAAAAACCCTAAAGACTCCACCAAAACACTGCTAGATTTAATAACTGAATTTGGCAAAGTAGCAGGATACACAATTAACATCCAGAAATCTATGGCACTTTTATACATCAATAATGAACTCAGAAAGATAAACTAAAAAAAAAAATCTCAAATACCATTGCAATAACAAAAAGAAAATAAGATACCTGGAATAAACTTAACCAAGCAACTAAAAGACCCATACTTGAAAATCTCTAGAACATTGAAAAAGGAAATAGAGGAAGATACAAACAAGTGGAAGCATATAAAGTGTTCATGGATTGGAAGAATTAACATAATTAAAATGTCCATACTACCCAAAGCAGATTCAACGCAATCCCTATTAAAATATCAGTGGCATA